AAAGATTACAAGAAAAGATTACTGTTTCATTCTTACATGCGGGATTCAGGATCCTTCCGAGGATCATAACCTTTCCTTATCCAGAATCTACGGAAAGGCCCACTCGAAAAGTAATATGCTACTCTAAAGAGAAGCCTGCATAATGACGGAGATAGACCAAAAATTTATACTATGAACAGTATCATTTCCAAGACTTAATCCAACTAATAGAAGTGAAGACTGTATAAGAATTTCATATGCTACCTTTTGATCCTGCTCTCTCCAAGCTTCAGACCCCCATCACGCAAGCGCTCAGCTAATGACTCTTTGACCCATATTTGACGCTCTTCAAACAATTCAGATACCACCTTCTGCCGTCTCCAATCTTCTGAGCCCTGAAGTATGTGCTTTTCCCAATCCACTGGTTTAGGAATCTGTATGAATGTTAAGCAGAACAACCAGGAAGCTGCAATACCATCATACTGCAGAGTGACTTTATTGTTGTGTTTGTCTTTGTTGAATAAGATGTCAAGTATCCGTCTTTTCAAGATAATATAATCTTCAGTAGACTTCTCTTCAGGGATGAAGAAAAGTGCAATTAATGAGTGGCAGCAGAGTTAGTAATGAAACAGCTTCCCAATTATAATTTGCTGATGACTCCCACCACGATTTTACCAAGCCAGCAAACTCTTCCATCCTTAAAACATGAAGTACGAGGGCTTATTTTCCCATTCGCTGCACTTCAACAATAGAGGATGCCTGACCAGTGCATAAAAGAAGAAAAAAATGCTGATCTCGGCGAAACAGCGAAACTTGTCCTCGTTGTAGCAACAGAACAAGCTGAAACCTGGGCGGGCGGAGTCGAATTCAAGACGCGACCCCCCGAGAGTGAAAACCGTGGTTGGGATGTGGCTGGAAAAGCCTGCATGCACCAGCGCAGGCATATGCCACGCATGGAGGGCCCTATGGTAGTGGGCTTTCTTGGCTAGGGTTGCAGGAAGTTATGAGTCTACTGGTGGTACTCCTACACGCACAATGTCCCTAGAAAGTATAGTAACCTCGAACAGATGCATTTAGTTGCCGGACAATTCCATGACAACAGGATCTCTCTCATGTATATGTCACAGATTACTATACAGTGTCTACTAATCTTGTTTGATTATTCCCTCAAGCTATAGAGTTTTAAAATAGTAAAGCATACATGTTCTAAACTAGGAAAGCAAATCAAGAATTGCATAATTACAGAAAACTGTGAGAAAGCACGGGAGAAAATATTATTGCTTATTTTCTATGTTACAATAAGCCCTATTTATATGTATACATAACACATAACTTACTCCTATTACATAAGGGACTAAGACTAATTACATACATTTCACATAACTATTCTAACATTCCCTCTCAAGCTGGTGCATATAAATCATATGTACCGAGCTTGTTACATATGTAGCTAATACGAGAACCAATGAGGGACTTGGTAAAAATATCTGCAAGTTGATCATTCGACTTTACAAACTTTGTAGCAATATCTCCCGGGAGTATTTTTTCTCTGACAAAGTGACAGTCAATCTCAATGTGTTTAGTTCTCTCATGGAACACTGGATTTGATGCAATATGAAGAGCAGCTTGATTATCACACACAAGTCTCATCTGGCTGATCTCACCAAATTTCAACTCCTTCAACAACTGTTTGATCCAAATTAGCTCACATGTCGCCATACCCATTGCTCGATACACTGCTTCTGCACTAGACCGAGCAACTACATTCTATTTCTTGCTCTTCCAAGACACCAAATTACCTCCTACTAAGACACAATATCCAGATGTAGAACGTCTATCAGAAGGTGATCCTACCCAATCAGCATCTGAGTATCCAACGATCTGCTCATGGCCTCGATCCTCAAACAATAAACCTTTGCCTGGAGTTGATTTTATATAGCGAAGAATGCGGATAGCTGCATCCCAATGACTATCACAAGGAGAATCCATAAACTGACTCACAACACTCACAGGAAAGATGATGTCAGATCTAGTCACTGTGAGGTAATTTAATTTACCAACCAGCCGCCTATATGTTGCAGGATCGCTAAGAGGCTCCCCCTGTCCTGGCAGAAGTTTAGAATTCGGATCATTCGGAGTGTCAACAGGTCTACAACCTGTCATTCTTGTCTCCTCAAGAATGTCTAAGGCATACTTCCGTTGTAAGATCACAATATCTGAGCTAGACTGAGCAACCTCAATACTCAAAAAATACTTTAACCTGCCCAGATCCTTGGTCTGAAAGCGCTGAAGGAGATGTTGCTATAACTTAGTAATACCATCCTGATCATTGCCGGTAATAACAATATCGTCAACATAAACGACCAGATAAATACACAGATTTGAGGCATTTAAAACACAGAGTGATCAGCTTCACTATGAGTCATGCCAAACTCCTGGATAACTTTGTTGAACTTACCAAACCAGGCTCGATGAGACTGCTTTAGACTATAGAGGGACCGGTGCAACCGACATACAAGGCCACTAGACTCCCACTCAACAACAAAACCAGGTGGTTGCTCCATATAAACCTCATCTTCAAGGTCACCGTGAAGAAAAGCATTCTTAATGTCCAACTGATAGAAAGGCCAATGGCGAACAGCAGCCATGGATAGAAAAAGGCGGACTGATGCTATTTTAGCCACGGGAGAGAAAGTATCACTGTAATCAAGCCCAAATATCTGAGTATACCCTTTGGCAACAAGACGGGCCTTAAGTCGATCAACCTGGCCATCTGGACCAATTTTGACTGCATACACCCAACGACAACCAACAGTCGATTTACCAGAAGGAAGAGGAACAAGCTCCCAAGTACCACTCATATGTAAAGCAGACATCTTGTCAATCATAACTTGTTGCCATCCTAGATGAGACAGTGCTTCACCAGTAGACTTAGGGATGGAAACAGAGGACAAAGATGATACAAATGCATAATGGGGTGATGACAAACGATGGTAACTTAAACCGACATAATGGGGATTAGGATTAAATGTGGACCGTATACCCTTTCCGTAGTGCAATCGGTTGACTAAGAGGAGACAAGTCCACAGTATTAGCAGGGTCAGGTGCAGGACGTGAATCAGGTGGGCCTGATGCTGGGCGCGGACGACGATGATAAGTCAGGAGTGGTGGAGCTGCAGAAGGTTGAACTGGACTAGGTGGTGGAACTGGAGCTATAAGTGATGGAACTGGAGCTATAAGTGATGGAGCTGCAACTGGAGCTGTAGGTGGTGGAGCTAGAGTTGTAGAGGAAGATGAATGAGAGATAGTGACTGAATCTCCAAAAGATGGAACTGGTAGCACCTCAGAAATATATAAGTGATTACCTTGACCTGTGAAGTATGACTGGATTTCAAAGAATGTAACATCAGCAGACGTAAGGTACCGTTGGAGGTCAGGAGAATAGCATAGATACCCCTTTTGCGTTCTCGAGTAACCCAGAAATACGCACTTAAGAGCACGAGGAGCTAACTTATCTTTTCCTGGAGTAAGATTATGAACAAAACACGTGCTTCCAAAGACACGGGATGGAAGAGAGAACAAAGGTAAGTGAGGAAACACGACAGAGGATGGAACTTGATTCTGGAAAGCTGAAGATGGCATACGATTAATAAGATAGCAAGATGTAAGAATTGCATCCCCCCAAAAACGCAACGAAACATGAGATTGTATGAGTAGGGTACGAGCAATTTCAATAAGATGTTTATTCTTTCTTTCAGCTACCCCATTTTGTTGAGATGTGTGCGGACAAGATATTTGATGAATAATCCCATGAGAGTTCATAAACTGCTAAAACGGGGAAGACAAATATTCTAGAGCATTATCACTACGAAATGTGTGGATAGAAAACCCAAATTGATTTTGAATTTCAGCGTGGAAAGTCTAGAAAATAGAAAACAACTCAGACCGTTTTTTCATTAAAAATATCCAAGTGCACTTGGAATAATCATCAATGAAACTGACAAAGTAGCGGAATCCCAAGGTAGAACTGACTCAACTAGAACCCCAAACATCTGAATGGACTAAAGTAAAAGGTGAATCTGCTCTATTATCAAGACGCCGGGGGAAATAGGAGCGGGTATGCTTACCGAGCTGACATGACTCACACTCTAGAGTGGACAAGTGAGATAAACCAAGTACCATTTTCTGACGTTTTCACAAACTGGGATGTCACAACCGTTTATGTAATAAATATGTTGAATAAGTAACAGGACAAGTTGTTGAAGGAAGACAAGATGTGAGTCTATGTGATTTAGCAAGGATAAGGTAATAAAGTCCATTTGATTCACGCCCGCTACCAATGATTACCCCGTACTGCGTTCCTGTATAAAAACAAGGTCATCAAGAAATAAAACAGCGCATTTAAGTGATTTGGCTAAGCGACTAACGGCTATGAGATTAAAAGGACTACTGGAAACATAAAGAACTGAATCTAAAGGTAAGGAAGGAAGTGGGCTTGTTTGACCTATTGCAGTTGCCATGGTTTGAGACCCATTGGCCATTGTGACTGTTGGAAGAGATTAAGATTACGAAATACTAGTGAAAAGAGATTTGTTACCAGAAATATGATCAGATGCACCTGAGTCAATGACCCAAGAATCGGAGGATAAAGATTGGGAGACATAAGTCACGCTATTACATGTTTGAATAACGGAATCTGTCTCTGAAGATGTCTGTTTACGAGCTTTATACTGAAGGAACTCAATATAATCCAGTAAATAAACCATCCAACTATTCATAGTATTGGATCCCATGTCGCTACAATTAATTTCTCAAATTCTTGACTAAAAGTTGTAGTGTTAACTTGAAATAGTGAAAAGTAACTTCTTGAAAACTGAAGATATATCTGGAAAACACTGTTCACAGCAGAGAAAAAGAGCACTATTTTATGCCGGAAAACACTGTAGCTCGCCGGAAAATTCCAAAGTTGTCGGAATCTGTCGGAAATAGTACTGGTGGACTCGGAATTGCCTTGCGACCAGGCTGTCCTGAAGAAGCTTGGCCAAAAAATGGCCGGAGAAGCATGCACGCGCCGGCGCGTGGGACAGACGCGCCGGTGGAATCGCGGATCTGGTGGCGCGTGGAGGCACATGGGCTTCTGTTGCTGGAGAATCTTTTTGGGGTTTGGTCGCCAGAGATTTCTGAGTCTAATGGTGGTGTTGGTTTGTGCACAACACTCACCAAACGTGAGATGACGCAAATCAGTCACTTAGGTCACCGAGAAATTGTACGGTGACTGAGTTATTTCTTCCTGGATATCGTTGGAATGACGCACAACGATCTTTTCTCACTAATGCTCTGATACCATGTGAGAAAGCACGGGCGAAAATATTATTGCTTATTTTCTATGTTACAATAAGCCCTATTTATATTTATACATAACACATAACTTACTCCTATTACATAAGGGACTAAGACTAATTATATATATTCACATAACTATTCTAACAGAAACTAATCATCCTAATTAATTTTTTCTGATCCTAATTGATATACAGTATATTTGAAATATCATTAAAAACATCGATCACAATAATTTACGGAGGGAGAGGAAAAGTACCCTTTTCGGGGTGCACTTTGGTAAAAATAAGGCAACAAAAGTTTTCAGCGGATTAGCTTTAATAGATACTTTCAAGGAGATTGGAAGGTACTTTCACGAGCTTCTATTTTCTATGTATTGTAACTCCAAGATACCGTTTCAATCCTCATTAATCCTACTTGTATTGATGAATAAAGTTGTTTCTTCTCATCCCAAAAGAAATAATCAAAGTTGAAAAAAGCTTTGAGATCTCCCTTATATAGGTCATGGAAAGTGCTTCTATGAGCAAGGGTTGTTCTAGATGCATTAAAATGGAAAGGTGGAGAAGAAATTATCAGAGTCTAACAACAGACACGGAACTAATACTGATGCACTGCTCAGACACTTAAGGATATCTTTGATATTAACATCAAGGTTAAGACTCTGCTCCATCTCCCTCTACATTGAAAAATAAATAAAAATTCATCAGTAAAATATTAGTGTGATCGAAGAACATATGGAGCATGTCAAGTAAAAGAATATGGAGTATGTCAAGTATGCAGCTCTGGAAATGCTAAGGGAAGTGAAGATAAAATAAGGTAGAATAAAATAATTCATAATGGCCTCATCACGTAAGCAGACAAATAAGAAAGAGTTGAAAAAACAATTGAAACATCCAAAAAAATCAGTCAATACATAGAGAAAAAAGACACAACAAGGTGAAACTGACTACCCTTATGTTGTGTATAGAGCAGCAATAAATGGATCAATGAGTATAAGTAAGTGAAATTGATTATCTAGCATTGTTCATGAAGCCACTAAAAGTTCTTAAAGAGAACTAAAGATGTCAATATGCCTTATGGGTGTGGGTTATGGAGGAATATTATGAAGGTCTGTGTAGAATTTAGTGACAATATATCACTCAGGGTAGGTGATGGGAGGAGAGTTAGTTTTAGAGGGCGTAAATGATGTGGGGATAACATGTTGAAAGAGGAATTCCCGAGCATTTACAGGGTTTCATGTTAAAAGGGGCTGACAGTCCAACAAATTCGGTGGTACAAGGTGAAGAGGTTTTTTGGGATTTGAAATTCAGAAGGGATTTCCACAATTGGGAGGTGACTGAGTTCCAAAGATAGCTAGTTTTACTTCATAAGCAAGGTACGTTATTAGATAGCCATGATACTTTCAGGTGGGATTTGGGGAATAACAAAGTGTTCTCTATTAAGTCTTTCTATGAAAAGTTCTTGGTTAGGGAGGAGGACGCCTTTCCATATAATTCGATCTGGATTCCTAAGGTGCCTAGGAAGGTGTGCTTACTTGATTAGCAGCCAGAGGGGCGATCTTGACGGCCGAAAATCTCAGAAAGCGGAAGGTTGTTTGCGTCAATTGGTGCTACATGTGTAAGGAGGCAGGTGAAGATGTGGATCACGTTCTTCTACATTGCAGTCCAGTAGTGATGGGGGATATGTGTAGTTGGTTTGGTGCCTCATACGTGATGCCAAGAACTGTAAAAAGAACTGATGTCTAGCTGGAAGAGTGGGAGAGGGAGGAGAAGGCGCAAGGCATAAAATGTTGCTCCACTTGCAATCATGTGGGTCGTTTGGAGAGAGACAAATAGAAGAGCTTTTGAAGGGGTAGAGATGAGCTTTACTCAGCTGAGGAGTAGCATCCGATCCCTCATTTTCTTTTGGTGCACCCATGAAATTTCTTGTTGTATTGATGATTAGGTGACTTTTGCAGGGATTCATATTTTCGTTTAGGTTTTTCTTCTTTTTGGTCTACTTGATCAAAAAAAAGTTCTTAAAGAGGATCAAGAATCTGCAGCTAACTTGTGCTCATCCCTCTTGCAATCTTCATAATTCTACATATATCTCATGATTAGTTTCAGTATATAGAAAAGAACTGGAAGCTTTCTCATCAAGGTTAGCAAACATTATTGGGGAAAAATTATATTTCTTCCATTGAAAAAAAAAGGGCAGCCCAGTGCACAAAGCATCTGCGTTCACGCAGGGTCCGGGAAAGGGCCGCACCCTGGTGTCTTCCATTGTGTCAGATTAACTTATATTCGGTTCAACTATTTGGAAAAATGCATTTGAATTCCTTTTCATGACAAATTGTGTTGTTTCCGGTTAATATCTTTATTTTTCTTTACATGAGCAAATGTGACTTACATATAAAGTACATGAGTAAGTATTCGCAGTACAAAAGAGGAATCTTGGTATATCAGTTAGTATGCGAAACAAAAGGAGCTCTGCCGAAGTGTTACGGAAGAAATCAAACATTTGGGAGACCACAGGTCCAAATCTCGGCAGAGACAAAAAGAATAATTTCTTCCCATCTGTTCCCTAGTGGGTAGAGTTACCCATGGTGGGAGTTAGCAGGTACTAGGTGAATTGATTGAGGCACACACAAGCCTGGACACCACTTAGTATCAAGTACCAAAGATCCATTTTTACGCTTTAATTTCAAATCAGCACTAACATTTAACTGATTTTTTTTTTCTTTTTGAGAAAGAACAGTTAACTGAATTTACATCGGTTTCATACTAATATACTATTGAGTAAACTACTTTACAGCATTGATCGGTTGTTTATTGCCGTAAGATTAGTGCTAGAATTAAGAGTGGAGACAATTTAACATATAGATTAGACGGATCTAACCTATTATGGTTCTTGCAACATGCAGAAGATCAATAATGACCTACTAACAAGAGCTAGATATCACTAGGGAAAAAAAATTATATTCCCATTAGACTGGAGACACAGGATAAGAGAATACTTCAAAGGTAATCCAGATCCCTAAATTACTCAAACATGGAAATTTGAAGACACGCTTTCCTTGTTCAGTAATGTATTACTGCCTAGGCAGCATGACAAAAGATCTGCAGTGTTCTTGTTAAATTGATTGAAAGATTAAAATAAAATTGCAGAAAATATTTGACTGAAAATAAAGAATTTAAAACAAGAGAAAATTCCTCCATGCCGGCAGAAAAAATTACCTCCCAATTTTGCCGGTAAAGCACCTCTTGTTTTCTTTTTGGTGCAAGTGATTTTAATCTGCAATTACAAAAAGTTTGAAATTTACAAATAGGAAGATACCTCTCTTAAAGAGAATGCTTTAACTTAGACAAGGAAAGTGGTCTGCATCACATAACCTATTGTGGTGAGACAACTAACATTACATGGACTCTTCGTTTGCCTCTGTGTCGATCAGTTGTTATGCGTAATACGTGCAAATCCTCAAAATACACTAAAATCATGATAAAAGTTGAATCTACCCACAACGGATACTTATGCCCGCAGCAAATACATACCCATACCCAAGTCCATATAACGTAGGAGACAACAGAGCATACAGGAGGAACAGAAGAAAAAGCAGAAACTTTTCCACCAACAGCAACTGAGAGAGAGAGACAGACAGACAGAGACACATAACAGAGAGGGTAAGAAGTGGTGGATTGCTAAAACCATGGTGCAACAAGAATGTGTGCATAGGTATACAATATCTAAAGTTAGTTAAAACTGTAAGAACAGATTAACAAGCCAGAGCATCTTACACAATATTCTCAGGCATATCTTTTAAGGAAAACAGAGGAGGTAGTAAAATCATCAAATCCTCCTGATCGACATCCATAAGACCTCCCTTCTCTACAAGCAGTAAACTAAAGAAATTAGGTATTGGAACAGAGGATTTCCCACATTTTGAAATTGCTGGAATAATGAGAGAATGGCTGACCAAATTTAGGTTCCACCTCTGCCCACTGTCTTTTTTTTCTTCTAGCAACATCAGCATGAACGGCAAGAACATGCTGATAGTCTACCATTCCTTTGAAAGCAGCACAATTGTGCACACAGAAGAAAAAAGGGGAACAAGAAATTATAAAGTTAATATGTGCTCAAAGAAAAGCAGAAAGACAAACTGGGGAACATGAAGTGGTCTAACATTAAAAATTAGTTCTCACCATTAAAATGATAAGCTTCAGCAACATGAGAAACAATATTAGCTGAGAGATGCACCTGCAATTTTGTAGTATTCTGCACTTCAAATTCTTTTGAAGCACCAGCAGATAACCATCTAGACTCATTCACCTTTTCTGCAGCTAACGAATGTTCAACACGAGAAATTTCTTGTTCACAATTAACAGGACTCCCTGAAGATTGCATCGATATTCCACAACTATTGTCAGCGGTTTCGACATCCCTTACTTTAGTCTTGGATATTTTCAACAGGAAATTATTTCTATGCCTAAGCTCCCCAAAGGCAGGGTGTGAATAAGGATCTTCTGGCCGGAAATGGAGCTCCAGCTTATTTGACTGTGAAGTTCGAGCCTGAAATTACAATGAGTGTGAGCAACAATCAGATTCTAAGATTAATTGACATCAATTACCACATGTCTATAAAGCCAATTAGCCAGCCATTAGTATAAATATTAGTTCACAAACATCAGGGTGCTCCATAAAGTGCTTCTTTTGGAGTAAATTTCCACTACTCATGAGTTACATTCTTAATGCATGAAACCTACGACTACTTACATCAATTTTCAACTTTTTTTAATGAAAAAGGGTAGCAAGCGGAATAGAATTTGAAACAATATTTTAATGAGCAATCTCAAAGGAATCCATTATGACATGCACCATTAGTACCACCAGCTGAGTAACTTTATAGAGGCAGGCTCAGTCCTTTTTTTCTTTTATTGGGCTAAAGCAGTTAGGAATGTTTTCAAATTTCCACCATCACCAGGTGAAAAAGGACACCTAAGTTCTCACTGCTCCCGGAAAGTGAATTAGACAAGTGGAACTACTAAATGAACTTGCTCTTCCTTGACTGAAAAAGAATTAAAAGAAAAGGTACTCATAATAGCACAGAATGTGACTAAGAATTGAAGTTTCAAATTCCAATGCGGGTAATTTTGCAAAAGTTGTACATACAACAAAATGTGTAATACCTTGACAATGCCTTGAATGCCGCCAAGAGTCTCAATGGCACGTTCCATTGAAGAAGGGTAAGCAGGGTAATGAACAGCAAAGACCTTGTTACTGGGTAAAATTCCTGATACTGAACCATCTTTTATAATCCCCATAATCTGTTATAAAACCAGTAAAAAACCCGAAATTTGCTTAACACAGTAAAAATCTTGGTTTTCTGAAAAAAAGTCTTACCTGATGTGGAGAGGAGCTAGGGGGTAGAGAGGAATGGGGAGAGGAATCTCTAAATGAAATATTTATATACTGCTGCTTCTGCTTGCCAATGCCACTCTGTTCAGTCAAACAAACTTCCGAGTTTCCAAAGGGTAGAGATTTAATCCTGACACAAAATTTTCCATTATTAATAGTTAATACTGGGCAGACGTAATGGCTATTTTTGTATTGAAAGATTCCGTTAGAATTACCATTTTTCCTTTTTAATAAGCAAAACATAAACTTTTTCCTTTTTAAAAATATTCTTTAGTTTACTTCTTATTGTATATTAGCTTTAGGGCACGATCCTTTTTTAAAATTTAGAATTCATGCACTTTAAATTCTATTTCTGGCTTTGAGTCAAACCCACGTGTCTCCACAAAAATATATTATAGGTAGCTTGTTTGGCGAAGTTTTTGAGAAGTCAATGGTGCTTTTTTTTTAAACAAAAATAACTTCTAAGAAAAAAATAAGTATTTTTTTAGTAGAAGAAATTATTTTTGAGAAGCTAAGAAAAATATTTTTTTCCTAAAACACTTTTGAAAGCTTGCACAAATTGCTGCCTAATGTTGGTAAAAATATTTTTTAAATTGATTAGTCAAATAAAAATTATTATTTTTTAAATGTTTAAAAACATAATTTTAAAAAAAAAATTAAGAAAAAGTATTTTTAAAGTAAGCTTTTAAAAGATTAGCCAAACAAGCAAATAGTCTATTTGAAATACACAAAAATGACAGTGTAAAATATGTCAAGTCAGTTCGCTATTTGCGACTGGTTTGCGGTTGCAAGATTGACATTCGGTCGTTTGATTTATTTCCCAAGTATTGCTTGTGTTACTTTTTTTTTTGGCAGGAAGACATCATTTATCGAATTCCTTTTAAGAAAATGACAGATTAGGAATAAATTTAGATATTAGACTTGAATAAAAGAGATAATTGTACTGATGGTCTTTCAGTTGTTATTGATAATTCTGATTTCAATCCTTGTAATATTTGATTAAGTATATTTTTAATCTATAATTCTGTAAAAAAAAACAAATACTAATATTTATATAAATAAAATGAATATTTTTTGTCTCTCTATATAGGAAATATGTGATATTATAAACTTTTATTAAAATAATATAGATCTTAAAAAGGAGTAATAGTATAAATTTAATATAACATATTAGTAATTAAATAATTTAACACTTAATAATTCTTTAAATTTGTAAAGATACACATTTAAGGGATAAAATATACATATCAATTAATTTAAGATTAATTGTGTTTAACCAAAAATCACAATGACCAATATTAAAATTTATGCAAATTTGAAAAACTAAAAACTCAATTTATTCTCTAACTCCTCGCGCCATTTTCCATTGCACTTTTGGTAATTGATTGGTGCTTAATGTCATTCAAGATTTGTAAAATATGTGGCTTTTATATTAATGCAAATCTAAGAGCCTGTTTGGCCGAGTTACTGGGAGGTTAAAAGTACTTTTTTGTTAGAAAAAATACTTTTCTGAAAATTTGATATGTTTGGCCAAAATGGAGAAGTGCTTTTGAGCAGCACCATTACCAGTTTTTCTGTTTTTGGGAAGTGTTGGGGTATATACAATTAATCATAGATTTGGGTATACTATTTATTATGAAAAAATTATTTATTCAATTTTAATAAAGATTTAAAAGATTATGTATTCATCTATGTCCTTTACTTATATAGTAAATGATTTAGTGTATAGAGTTTAGCTTATACACGAAAGATTAAATCACCTTATAAGTATAAAGGTTATATTCAAAATCTAAGATGAAATTGGCCAAACCATCTGAATGATTGTATCACAAGATTAAATAAAATTTATCTTGATTATGGAATAGTATAATTTCGACTTCTTATGCTAGTTTATTTTATATGTATCGAACGGACCAAGTAGAGACAAGTATTCTATACAGACTTCATAAAATAAGTCTCTAGTCTATTAAATGTACTTTACTCTTAATCCAGATATAATTATTATTAGTTGTGTATATTATTTATTGTTTGATTTATTAAAAGGCGAGATTCTTTTGTGGGTCACTATGCCTGATAAATTGGACAATAATCATATGCATTGGTGAAGTAATAGTTAGTTGATTAAATTCATGTCTCGGACTAGAGATTGATCATGCACATTTATGAAAGCTTATACGTTTTAATGTGTAAATCCTGCACGTAGATTTTGCATCTGTCACATGAAATAAGTTAAGCAAATGTCTAAAGAAAATAATCAATGAATTAAATTGTCAGTAATTTAATTTATTTGATTAGTATCTGAATCTTAACATGAGGAGTTAAATAAGGTCTAGTGGAAGAATTTTAAAATTGAACTGAGGAGTGCAATTACGAATCTTTAGTGGAGTAATTCGTAATTTATTATGGTAATATTAATTCAAATATCTCGAACTAAGTCTGTAATAGGAAGCCTCATTAATTAAAATTTATATGGTCCTTGTTGTGCCTGAATAATTAGGAATTAAATAGAATCATATATCTTGGTGGAAAAGGAAGACCCAACATGTTTAGGAAAATATTTTAAACCCTAAAATATGTGGCTATATAAAGGGGTCTTATTCCATAAGGAGGCTATGAATTTACTACACGAAGAAAATTCGCCCACACGATTTCGCAATTTCTAGTATTATTTGAGTAACAATAGAAGACCATAGAACTGGAGGATGTTCTCATGGATATTTTTGCTCATGCTTGAAGGTATTTTTGCGATCGCGGTCACGCTTCAAGAGATAAATACCGATTTTATGTTCGATTAAAATTTGTGATTATGTATTGTTTATTGTCTATATTATATGAAAGTGATGCTGACCGTTTGCTTCAGCAGTTTATACTTATTTTTCATCAGGAAGAAGCTACAAATTCTAGCTTCTTCCAAGAAGCAAAAGCAGAAGCAGAAATTAATTATTTTAAGAAAAAGTATTCTTATTATAAATTTATATTTTCTAAATTATCCTTCATTAATTTAACTTTTTTTTCTTTTTTATTTCTAACATCCTTTATTTATTTATTTTATTTCTATCGTATTTTTATTCTCCTTCTCCTATTCTTCTTTTAAATAGTCTCACTATAAATAGATCTCTTCTTTTACATATGATTAAACGAAGTAGATTTTTAATTTATACGGAATGACTAATATTTTAAAAATATTTAAATCATCATATAAAATAATGGAAGACGAGATAGAGGTGAGGCTCGATACACAAGTCATTCCCAAGAGAGGAAGTTTCAGGTACCTTGGGCCAGTAATACAATGAAATAGGGAGATCGATAAGGATGTCACACAGCGTATCGGAGCAGGGTGTATGAAATGGAGGCTCGCTTTCTGGTGTTCTGTGTGATAAGAATGTGCCACTTACACTTAAAGGTAAGTTCTATAAAGTGGTGGTTAGACTGACTATGTTGTATGGGGCAGAGTGTTGGCCAGTCAAGAACTCTCGTGTTCAGAAGATAAAAGTAGCTGAAATGAGAATGTTGAGATGGATGTGCAGGCATACAAGATTTGATAAGATTAGGAATAAAGTTATTTAGAAAAAAGTGGGAGTGGCCCCATGGAGGATAAGATGCGAGAGGCGACGCGGAGATGGTTCGGGCATGTAAAGAGGAGAAGCATTGATGCCCCAGTTCGAAGGTGTGAGAGGTTGGCCATAGGGGTGTGATGAGGGGTAGAGGTAGGCCAAAGAAGTATTTGAGAGAGGTGATTAGGCAAGACATGGTACAACTGGAAGGACATGTCCCTTGATAGGAGGGTGTGGAAATCGAGAAATAAGGTAAAAGGATAGTAGGTAGTCGAGCGTTTTGCTCTTTCTTTCTCAGACCGGTAGCATTAGTATTAGTATGGTATCCCTTTTACTCGTAGATTGCTATATTTACCTACTATTTGATTGATGTCTTTCGCTTTGATTTTATTAATTTCCTTCCGTCGTTGTTACTGCTTGTGGCCTATTCTTACTTTCATCTGCTCTCTAGCCGAGGGTCTATCAGAAACAGCCTCTCTACCCTCCTAGGACAGGGGTAAAGTCTGTGTATACTTTACCTTCCCCAGACCACACTTGTGAGAATTCACTGATTTTGTTGTTGTTGTTGTATATAAAAACAATAAGTAATACCATATACGCTAAAAAAAACCAAACAAAGATGCCCTCTCATCTCCGTCTAAGCGACATGGAGGAGAACTAGGCAGCCATGGCTGCCAACGCCTCTCCCCAGTCTTTGGATGTGGGAGAGTTAAACCTTAGCCGGCATCTTATGCTATGCAACTAACAATAACACAAACAGTCCAAAAATCAACAAAAACCAAGTAGAAACCTATTAATTTTAGTCATGAAATTCCAACTATCAAACTTACGAGGGATGAAGTTGATCAATACACAAAGGAAGAAGGATTTAGTCAAGATTTAGTTCTCAAATTCTCATATGGACAACCGGATATTCAAGAATTGCGTAAATTACTGTCCATGCTGTTTAGGACGACAAATCGAGTCTTGATTGGATTGTTGGCTCGTAGACATATATTGATCATATTCGTATGTGTCGTCTTATTTTACTTCATATTTGGTTATGACTCGTGATTCTCTAGATACTTCTGTCTATGTGTCTATACCTGTTGGGGTATCTATTACGGTGGATCGTGTCTATCGTATTTGTTTGTTCACTACGGGGGTTATAGATGCTTGATTATCGACTCGATGTGTTGTCTAGGCTTAGATATAGATGTGTTAGTAGATCCTTCAGTTGTTCATTTTTGGGACGAAGCAGTTTCTTATATATGGTTGACGAGTATAGACTCAGGAGGATTGTGTGCATATCGGTTGTGACTGTAGTAGGTCCATAGAGAGATATAGGCCGGGGGGCTAAGTAGGTGGGTTATCTCATGCGAGAAGATTTGAGGTTTTGTAATTCATATGAGGCTTCTATTAAGAAAAATGCATACTACTACTATTTCGGAGGGCTTGAGGAAGTTCGCACGACTATCACAAGGGTGAATATGCACTTGGCAAAGTCTTTATAATGTTTTATGACCAGTGTTACATAAGTTTATGAAGTATTTAGTTAATTAACAGTATAGGATCGGGGCAGCTATAAAGGA